ATTCTTAATATTTAAACTATTTGATTTGATTTTTTTTGTATTATATTGTTTCCTGACTTACCCAATACTATATATTGATTTTTTTAAATTAATATATTATTTATTTATTTATACATTTAATATTTTAACTGTTTTTAAAGATATATACAAACATGATTTATTTTTTGCTGGTTCGAATAGCCCACACACACACACACACACACACACACACACACACACACACACACCACACACACACACACCACACACACACACACACACACACACACACACACACACACACACACACACACACACACACACAGGTAGAGGGACGCTGGAGGAAGCAGGAATTTAAAGACAACCCTCAAAGGGAAAGAGGGAGGATGAATTTAAGTAAAAATGGGAAAGGTAGAACAAGGAAAGGAAGTAAGGAATGCCAAAAGAGGGGTAGGGAAGGAAAGGAGGCAAGGATTAGCAGTTTAATCAATAATAAGTAATGACACAGTCTTTGAGGAACAGAAGTATTGTTTTCCGTCTTCACTTTAACTGAACGATCATTTGAAATGCAGCGCTTTTGAAACGTGTTGTGATGATACACACTCAGGACTGACGGACGCTTTATTCATTAACTCACACATTAAAGAGCGTGTGAAGAGACGAGTAGAAAGGCTCGTTTGAATCTTTTAGGATGAGATTGTCAGTCATTATTTTCCGCAGCAAAATGTTTTCAGACGTTCACTAATGGGTTCTCCTGACCTGAGAATCTGTTCTTCATCATTATTATTATTATTTGTATTATTCTGAATGGAGAGCAGATGGGTTTTAACCACAGACTGTATATATAAAGGTTTTAACCACAGACTGTATATATAAAGGTTTTAACCATAGACTGTATATATAAAGGTTTTAACCATAGACTGTATATATAAAGGTTTTAACCATAGACTGTATATATAAAGGTTTTAACCACAGACTGTATATATAAAGGTTTTAACCACAGACTGTATATATAAAGGTTTTAACCATAGACTGTATATATAAAGGTTTTAACCATAGACTGTATATATAAAGGTTTTAACGTGGGGAATAAACACCGAGTTCAGCCGCACAGAGGAAAGAACTTTAAAACTCACAACAACATCCGTTAAAGAGTTCCTATTCTGCTTCCTGTAGTGTATTTATATACGTTTCAGTGCATGTCAATGGTCTGCAGAGGCTAAAATTCCCAAAGTTCCGGAACACCGTGACATCACCACGGAACACTCGCGCTCCTATAGAGTGGTGAAGTCCCTCCCTTTCCGGGGGAGCTCCATGGGACCTTATTTCTGAAAAAGTATGTATTGAAGTCAATGGAGAGAGAAAGATTATCTTTGGATCCCGTTTGAATTGAGCCACGAATTACACATATGATGTTTGTCAATTTAAAAGATAATTTTGCAAGTCAAAAAAATGGAAATGTGTCGTAAAACTGTGAAGTAACACTTTTTTTTGTGTGAAACCGCTCAATGAACTACATCTCCCCGTCTCGCACCACACACCCAGACGGCCGTCACGTTGGCACATTTCACTTCTTTCTTTCAGAATGAGGCGGAAAGTATTAAAAGAGGTGAAAATCACTCCAAGTCTGGGCGTGTTGAGAGCTGTACATACACACAAGGGGAGTTAGTCGGTTCCTAAGAGCCAGCATGCGGGACCGGGATTCTGGGATTTGTAGTCTTTCTAGTTGCGTATTTTTCATCGTCTTATATTTCAACAGTTTTACGACAAACTGTGACTTTTTTGACATGGAAATTATTTTTTAAGATTGACAAACATCATATGTATAACATCTACGTCACTTTACGGCCCCGCCCACTTTTGGGGGAAATCGCTGTTATTTGAATGGCGGTCAATACACATTCTGAAGTTTTTGCCAATCCGATCAGAAATTTAAGAAAACCGTGGATTTGTGGATCTTCAAAGAGCCCGGTTACGATGGCCAGTCAGGCAAACAATTATATGAAATAATTCGAAATCGACAATTGGGCTCGATATATGGTTAAATTAAAATCAGTAGGCGAGGCCGTCATTTCGCCAGCTGTTACTCTCATGAGCGAGGCGGAAAGTAATAGTTGTATCATGCCAACAAGCTGCTGTGTCGTTTATTGCACCTCAAACATTAAAACAAATCCAGAGTTCAGTGTTTCTGAACTTCCTCTAAGAAGAAAGGAGCTCTGTGGCTTCAGGCTCGATCACCGTTCAAATGACAGCGTTGGTTTCCCCCAAAAGTGGGCGGGGCCGTAAAGTGACGTAGATGTTACTCTCATCTATGGACATCGATCGCCTACTGCTATATTTAACCATATATCGAGCCTGATCGTCGATTTCCAATGGCTTAATGTAATTGTTTGCCTGTCTGGCCATCGTCATCGGGCTCTTTGAAGATCCACAAATCCACGGTTTTCTTACATTTCTGATCGGATTGGCAAAAACTTCAGAATTTGTATTGATCGCCATTCAAATGACAGCTTTGTTTTCCCCCAAAAGTGGGCGGGGCTGTAATTTTTGCCCGAGAAAGTCGCATCTGTTTATTTAAAAAAATGTCCCTCTGAAATATAATAAGTTTCTCTGATCTTATAATAAAAACAGCTGTTCCAGTTATAAGATATTATTTAGAGGAAAGGATACTGATATTTTCATACTTTTCAAAAATCCTCCTCCTAACCCTCCACCACCAAAACACTGACAATAAATGGGGCGAAGCCTGCGAGCTAGTTCAGGCAGTCAACTCGAGCACCAATGATACATTAACACGTGACGCACCTCGTCGCTCTTACAACCAACCAAACACATTCTCCTAAACATGCCGCTCTATTTAAGCTGCCAGGTCTGCCTGCCCCACCACCACCCCAGCTTCCACCCCAGCTCCACCCCAGCTTCCACCCCAGCTCCACCCCAGCTTCCACACCCCAGCTTCCACACCCCAGGCTTCCACATCCCCAGCTTCCACCCCCCAGGCTTTCCACCCCAGCTTCCCACCCCAGCTTCCACCCCAGCTTCCACCACCCCAGCTCCCACACCCCAGCTTCCACCCCAGCTTCCACACCCCAGCTTCCACACCCCAGCTTCCACAACCCCAGCTTCCACACCCCAGCTTCCCACACCCCCAGCTTCCACACCCAGCTTCCACCCCAGCCTTCCACACCCCTTCCCCAGCTTCCTTCCACCCCAGCTTCCACCCCAGCTTCCACACCCCACTTCCCCAGCTTCCACACCCCAGCTTCCACACCCCAGCTTCCACACCCCGCCTTCCCACACCAGCTTCCACCCCAGCTTCCACCCCAGCTTCCCACCCAGCCTTCCACCCCAGCTTCCACCCCAGCTTCCACACCCCAGCTTCCACACCCAGCTTCCCACCCCAGCTTCCCCCCAGCTCTCACACCCCAGCTTCCACCCCAGCTTCCACCCCCCGCTTCCACACCCCAGCCTCCACCCCCAGCTTCCACCCCAGCTTCCACCCACCAGCTTCCACACCCAGCTTCCACACCCCAGCTTCCACCCCAGCTTCCACACCCCAGCTTCCACACCCCAGCTTCCACACCCCAGCTTCCACACCCCAGCTTCCACACCCAGCTTCCACCCCCCAGCTTCCACACCCCAGCTTCCACCCCCAGCTTCCACATCCACCCCAGCTTCCACACCCCAGCTTCCACACCCCAGCTTCCACACCCCCGCTTCCACACCCCAGCTTCCACACCCCAGCTTTCCACACCCCAGCTTCCACACCCCAGCTTCCACACCCCAGCTTCCACACCCAGCTTCCACACCCAGCTTCCACACCCCCAGCTCCACACCCCCCCAGCTTCCACACCCCAGCTTCCACACCCCAGCTTCCACACCCCAGCTTCCACACCCCAGCTTCCACACCCCAGCTTCCACCCCAGCTTCCACACCAGCTTCCACCCCAGCTTCCACACCCCAGCTTCCACACCCCCAGCTTCCACACCCCAGCTTCCACACCCCAGCTTCCACCCCAGCTTCCACACCCCAGCTTCCACCCCAGCTTCCACACCCCAGCTTCCACACCCCAGCTTCCACACCCCAGCTTCCACACCCCAGCTTCCACACCCCAGCTTCCACCCCAGCTTCCACACCCCAGCTTCCACACCCCAGCTTCCACACCCAGCTTCCACCCCAGCTTCCACCCCCAGCTTCCACCCCAGCTTCCACCCCAGCTTCCACCTGTAGGCTCGGGGGGTAGTTATCTAATCATCACTCCATAGATTTACAAAGAACATTGAGTGATGATTAGATAACTACCCCCCGAGCCTACAGGTGGAAGCTAGACGCCAAACTCAAACTATATGCTGCTTCTAATAAACATATTAAGAAACACGTGAGTTGTCTGACTGAACTCACTTTATAGACCAGCTTTTAACGGGTGATGAATGTGGTTTTATTGCTCGATTTTAAATGTATTTATTGCTTGATTGATCTTATTTTCTGAGCGCCTGATAAAGTGCTTGATAAATAAAATGTATTATTATTATTATTTACACTTTCTAACTTCGTGCTGCAACTGCTGTACAGGAACGTCCCTCAAGATCAATAAAGTGTTATCTTATATTGTGATGAGTCAGGAATCAGCTGTTTTTATTTTGCAGTACCAGCGCCACCTGCTGGACTAAAGGAGCCTGTGCTCCAAATCAGCTGCAAAAAGTGTGTTGTTATTTTCTTTAAATTCTTTTTTATTTTAATGTCCCATTGTGATTTTTTAATTTTTTTAATTCTTGTGTAGATTCTCACATTTCCTTTATTACTCTTATGTTTGTTTTCTTATGTATTATTGTATTCTTACATATTTTTTTAATCGTTGAAACACACAATTAGGAAGAGAAAAATAGAAATAAAAAGAAGAAGAAGAAGAAGTATAGCCTGATCCTTTTCTGACTCAGTGCAAAAACTAGACATTCAAATATAAAAAACAACGTTCAAAAAGCTTCTCCCAGCAGTTTGGATCCAATCACACAGAAACCAGCTCTGTTTTGAATTCTTTTATTTAGAAAAGTGTCTACTTTTTATACAGCAAAATCAGTCAAAACCTAAATACAAAAGTTAACAGATCATAATCCTCTTTTTAATCAGATTGTTTTAGTGCAAATACTACGGATTATTTCCATTAATACCAGGTATAAATTCAGCTTGTCACGTAATGTGTGTCCTGTACTCACAGGAGTTATTAGTATCAGTGTGTTACTCTGTTTTTGTCTCAGTGTGTCCGTTCAGCAGCAGGTCCATGTACGCTCCCGTCACCAAACTCTGCTTTGAGACTCCCAGCTTTTCCATCAGGTCCTCTGCCACCTTTAATAACAAGAAGAATTCAATACAAATGTTTGAAAAATACAAATTATTATCCGATTGGTTAGCTGGCTTGCTCTGTTGTGATTGGTCAACCGCTTAGAGATGTCCCGCCCCTTATGCTGCGTTCACACCGGAACGCAGATGCGATGTTTGGGGGCGGCGCGATTACAAGTCAATGCAGAGAGGCGGACAGACGCGAATTCGCTCCGGCGATTGGAGGGGGCCGCGACAACCGCTCGAGTTCAATTTTTTCAACGATCTCGCGGTAGCCAATCAGCGGTGAGGATCTCAGCCTGCCGTCACTGACGTAGAACCACAAAACCAACATCAGCCGTTAGCAGTTAGCACTCAGAGCTCACAGCTCCTCATATCTGTTCAGAAACTAGACAAAAGTTAAACAAGTACAAACCACAGACTGCCTGTGTCATGGTGAATACAGTCGCTGCTGTATTTATGTCTGTATAGGCCGTTGTTGTGAGTGTGGACGGTCGGGGCATATACTGCGTTAGCTTAGCCGATCTCCATTTAGAAAACACGCATTTTAAAAGGTGTTTCTCCTGCCGTCTGTCTGCAGACTTGACAAAGCATTAATTCATGGTTTTTACTAACCGGTATCAGTATGTTGTTACTTCGGCATCATTTTGAAACGTGTATTACAATTTAATCACGGTCAAATATGTCCATCTTGTTGTAGTTGTAGCCCCCAAGCCAGCGCTTCTTGTTTGAATGATGCGAGTAAACACAGCTGACAGCCGCGGTGAAACTCGAGCGATTAGAGCGAAGCGAATATTTGCATCGCCTCCGGTGTGAACGCAGCATTAGACTATAATGTATAATATGCTGGAGCGCTAGCCAATAGGAAGGAGCGCATGGTGATGTCACTGCATTCCGGAACTTTGGGATTTGAACACCTCTAGTTTACATTAAAAAAAAAAGTAAAAAATGTTTTGAAGGTGAGAATTTTAGAAAGAAGTTAAACAAGTACAAACCACAGACTGCCTGTGTCATGGTGAATACAGTCGCTGCTTTATTTATGTCTGTATAGGCCGTTGTTGTGAGTGTGGACGGTCGGGGCATATACTGCGTTAGCTTAGCCAATCTCCATTTAGAAAACACGCATTTTAAAAGGTGTTTCGCCTGCCGTCTGTCTGCAGACTTGACAAAGCATTAATTCATGGTTTTTACTAACTGGTATCAGTATGTTGTTACTTCTGCATCATTTTGAAACGTGTATTACAATTAAATCACGGTCAAATATGTCCATCTTGTTGTAGTTCTTGTTTGAATGATGCGAGTAAACACAGCTGACAGCCGCGGTGAAACTCGAGCGATTAGAGCGAAGCGAATATTCGCATCGCGTCCGGTGTGAACGCAGCATTTGACTATAATGTATAATATGCTGGAGCGCTAGCCAATAGGAAGGAGCGCATGGTGATGTCACTGCATTCCGGAACTTTGGGATTTGAACACCTCTAGTTTACATTAAAAAAAAAAGTAAAAAAAATGTTTTGAAGGTGAGAATTTTAGAAAGAAGTTACATTTTTTTAAACATTTCAGAATTAGACAATAATATTTTAGAAAAAAGGGAGAATTTTAGAAAAACATCAGAATTTGGATTGATTCTTTGTTGTTGTTAAAAAATGAGAATTTCTGAATATATTTAAAAAATGCCAAACATAGTGTCATTCTTTTTTGTCAATGTGTTGGAGCGTTAGCCAATAGGAGTGTTCCGTAGTGATGTCATTATGTTCCAGAACTTTGACAGGGATTTTAGCCTTTGCAGACCATTTACATGCACTAAAACCTATAGAACACACTACAGGAGAGGGAACCAAGACATATGTGGTGTAAACAAACCTTCTGTCCGTCCTCTACAGTCTGCTCTGGACGCATCACCACCTGAACAAACAAACAAAAAAGTTATTAAAAGGCAGGTGAGGGGGGGGGGTCGGAAGGCTGATCTTAACTAATAAAAAGGTTTTATATTCCTCAAAACTACAAGTAATACATAACATTTTGAAACTACACGGAGAAAACTAGACTTTGAGATACTTTTCTGATGATTATGGGATGATATCTGATGATCAGGAGTTGCTCATGAACCATTGACTTATTGGTTAATTATTAAGAACACTGGTTAAAAGACGGGTGTGTTTCAGAGCGTGTGTGTTTCAGTGTGTGTGTACCTCCAGCTCCATGTAGTTTCCGAGCCCCTCCACAGCGTCCAGGTGAACTCTGGTCTGACCAACCAGGAACAGCCGTCGCTCCTTACGCACCTCCCCTTTAACCCCGAGGGCGTCTGACAGCACCGTCTACACACACACACACACACACACACAGTTAGTTATATATACTTACATATATTTATAGGTGCATTAAGTCAGTATTTGAGTGTTACCCTGAGCGAGGGGGGGTCGCTGGTCGGGCTGATGGAGTAACGCGACAGTTTGGGTCCGTCGGTGTCGGGGCGCTCGTAGAAGATCAGCTGACCGGACTCGTCCTGATGAATAAAACATTAAAAAACAATTATTGTATTGCACACACCCACACACACACAATCACACACCCACCATGAAGTCCCGCAGCTTCAGGCGTCCCTGGGTGCAGTTGAAGAACGTGTCGTGCTGTTTGATGATCGTGCCCTCTGATTGGCTGAGCTCTGCGGCCCTCGCGGCGAATCGCGTCGGGTCGCTCACTTTGGCTTTGATCTCTACGTTAGATGGCATGACTCTACTGAGCATGTGCACAAAGGAGAAACTATCAAATTACAAGATTTCAGAAAAAGTGAGCATTTTTGAAAAAAGGAAAAAAAAAGGAAAAATGTCAGAATTTTGATTAAGTGAGAATTTTTAGAAGAAAAGTGAATTTTTGGAAAAAAAGTGCAATCTTTTGAAAAGTGGAATTTAAAAAAAAGTTAAAAAGAAAAAGTTAAACATTTTTTTATAAAGTGAGAATTTTAGAAAATGTAGACAAAAACTCTGAATTAAAACACATTTTGAGTAGGGCCATATTGATGCTTATACTTGTACTTGACCACATTTTAATTCAGTATTTGTATCTGTAACAGAGTATTTATACACTGTACTGCTAGTAGCTTTAGCATAAACATGAACCTGTTACAGTACAGTTAGCTACATCATATGCTAACAGCATCATCACATGGGCCAGCTTGTTAGCTACCTAGCTGCTAACTCCAGCTAACAAACATCATATTAAAGTTAAAGGACAGCTAACAGGGAGCACAAACAGCAGCTCACATTAATACAAACTAACCCTGACACTGCTGACAGAAGTAAAGTTTGTAGTTTAACCTGTTATCCGTGTCTCTCCGTGTGTTCACACTAGATTTTGCCGCGAAAAAACTCCTCCGGGGCGGAGCAGCAGCGATCTGAGAGCAGCTGGAGGACCAGGAAGAGGACCGGGCGAAGCGGGTAAACTGACCACAGATCAGTGCTCTATAACGGGGGAGAAACATTTCTACAGGGGGTACTCCTCCATTTCACCAGAGACGATCTACGGCTGCGCAGAAGACACTGTATAAAGCAAGCGAAGACGTCTCACTCCGCTTATGTTTCGCTGCACTCAAAGTAACCACATCCACCGTGGCTGCTTTTTTAGGAATACTTCTTAATAGATATATGTCTATTACTTCTCAATATACGTCCATGAATACCCACTCGTGTTGTGTTTATTTTTGCTATTATGATTATTTTTTATTTTGTAATGTAAAATATTGTTTCTGTTTCAGGCATTTTTATATTTTAATCACATTTTTTACCTTAATTTCTATTTCTATTTTTATTATTACTCTTTTGTTTCAATTTCTATGTTTTTCTTCTATCATTATTTTATAAAAACGACTTTACAAAGAGGGAGAGACACATTTCTACAGCTGTTCCTCCTCATGGAATGGAAGGCCCGCCTCCCTTTCATCAGAGACGATCTACGGCTGCGCAGAAGACACTTTATAAAGGAAACGAAGACGTGTCACTCCGCTTCTTTTAGTAACAGCATAAAACATGCCTGCCTTTTAAATAAATGCTAATCATTTTTTAATTTATATTTTTGTTTAATTCTTTGGATAATTCCTTACATAATTTTTTCTGTACGTTGATTTTAATTCCTATTTATCTATTGTATTATTATTTTATAAATTACATGTTTTAGTAATATTTATTCCTAAATTATTTGGGTTTGTTTTCATATCATTCATAGCATCATTTATTAAATTTAATATTTATTATGGGATGTTTAATGGTGATATCTAGTGAGTAAGTAGTAAGTAATTTCCCCTCTTGTAGTGTCTCTTCTTACTGACTTTTAATGATATGACTTCATTCAGTATTTCTATTTATACCTGTTCACCTCCACTCACTCACACAAACACACACACACACACA